GGCAAAGTTAATAAGAAAAAGTTTAGTTGTTCTTGTTATTAAGTGAATCTATTGTTCCTTAGCATTGCTGTTCAGATGACATCAACCCTAACCCCACAGCAAACAGAAACCGAACCGAACCGAGGCTCCAAAACCGTGAACCGAACCGAATCGTGCCTTTGGTGTATCGTTACACCCCTATTAATTTTAATTAGTTTTGTCAACTTAGGTGTTTCTTTTTTTCCCTAAGACCAGTCTGTATAATTGCTCTTGGATTAATAGTTAGATTTACTAAACTATGTACTCCCTTTTTTCAATGTTCAGTTCAGTCCTCAATCATTTAATCAATGAGAGGCAATTGCATAATCTTACCACAATAACAGTGAGATGGTCTTCCAGTGGGAAAAATAAGGTTCAAACAGTGTCCTTCGAACCGGTGGTGACGTTGTCTCAGTCTCTTAAGGCGCGAAATCCTTGGGTAAAGCTCGTCGTCCGATGTCCTCATGCACGCACATCTCATCACACACACGAGCTGTTGAAATTTCCGTCGTTAGTATTCGATGTCCGGGAGACTCTCCCGGGTGGAAGAAATACCTGGCCTGCACAACAGACCATGAAAATGATATTTTTTAGTCAAAAGTGCTTAAATCTTAACAATTGAAAAAGACAAATAAACCGTCTCTGTTTCACAGTTAACTCAAAATGGCTATGGTGTTTTTTTCTGTTTTACTCCACTACACTTTAGCCTCAGTACACATTAAAAGTAACATATAGAACACATAAAATACATTTTAAAAACAGCATTTGTACATTAAGTTGTCAAGTAAAGTCGAAAAATAACCCATTTACTTCGAATTATGTCTTCAACATTTTCCGTTCTAAAACGAACTTCAGTTAGACCGTTTACTCGTATAAAACACTTCTCTCAAACTCCATAAAAACACAGCAAAACTCACCAAAACTCGCCATTTTGATTGGAAAAGATCCGAAATTCACTTTGAAAAGAAGAAAATTACTCCAATTTCGCGTCTATGCCGCTTCTTTAGTCTGCTGCCGTTAGTCTTTCTCGCGCCTATGCACTACACTACTGCGCATGCGCGAGGAGGGGGCGGGGCAAACTGTAGGAAGGTTACAACAAAATCATACATTTTTTACATGTAAATGTTTTAACGTGTAAATTAGATTATTTCACACATCGTTGTTTTGTATCTTATCTTATAGTTAATTATTTATTATTTAACTATTTATTTATTTTTCTATTTATAATATTTGTAACCTAGGTTACATGTGGCAGAAAGACGAAGTGCATGGTGTTGTCACTGGCACTATCTGCAGGTCCTTTTCTCTCCTGCATGGACTTCGCTCTTTTTGGTCATGAAACCATTTTTTCATGGTCTATGCTTGATCTTAACCATAAAGCTTACTTTTCTATTACTGTGTTAAAAACGCTCCTATGGATTTTAATTAATTATTTGAAACAGAAATAATTCCCTGATTCTACAGCATTACCTCCATAGAATGAAAGTGTGAAATCAACATACACAAGTATTCACATTTTTTATATAGTTCAGTACATTACACAGTAACCTTTATAAATTTAACAACTGAACAATCAGAAAACAAGCAAAAGTTAATTCTCACTACTTCTGCCTTTTTAGATATATGATACCTAACACCAATATGCTCCAGTTATACTGGAAGGGGTGGGGAGCTCAAAACTGGCATGCTGCACAGCTGTAGGACGTCTTGGGGTTCGGCCATTGAACACATGTGGTACCACCGGTCACACATGTCACACTGGATCTGTAACAACAAATGTCACTGAGGAGGATACATCCACTGTGCTGTATTATATACAGAACTGTATAGACAGCATTACCGTTAGGAAGCACAGTCAACACTTCCCAAACAGTAAACCATGGATTACAACAGACTTCGGCTAAAAGTGTGCAACGCAGCCTTCAGGTCTGGAAATGGTGAATTGTTCAGTGTTGCCAGATCCTACCTGAAGTGAGCCATCAAGAATGCAAAGGTAGTCTACAGGGAGAAGGTTTAAGGCCATTTCATCGATGGAGACCCCCAATGTGTATGGCAAGGCATCCAGCACTTTACAAACTGCACAGGCAGCAAAGACTCAACCAATCAGCAGCAGCTACTCGCTAGCAGAGGAACTCAACCACTTCTTTGCCTGTTTTGAGGTGACTGAGGCAGAGACTGGGACAGCACCAGCACCAGTTTTTAACAGTATGGCATTTACTGTTAACACTAAAGATGTCAGAAGAGTATTCCGCAGTGTGAACCCAAGGAAAGCTGCTGGCCCAGATGAAATTCCAGGTCGGGCACAGATCAGCTGGCAGAGGTGTTCAGCAACATCTTTAACCTGTCACAATGCACTGTCCTCAAACACCTTAAGTCTGCCACCAAGTCTGAGCTGTGTCAGGATCTTTATCACTGCAGCATTGACTGTGGTGGCTCCCTGAGTGAGGAGGTGGCACAGCTGGTGCTGCTACAGCTGCTGCTGGCCCTGTGCCACTGTGAGGATCGGGGCCTCCAACACGGTGACATCCAGGCTCAAAACCTCCTTATTCAGACAGAATCTCTGCAGGTTAAGCTGATAGACTTTGGATGTGGGAGTTTTCACAAGGACAGCCCCGATCCAAAATACTTGGGTTAGTGAAAAAAAGATGTTAAATATACAGAAATATCGCTCCTTTTTACTCTGTTTGCTTTCTGTAAAATAGTGAGATGTAAAGTGAGTTTATCAGTGTCTGTGGCATCTTCTCTCACTCATCTCATTCATTCATCTCATTCATTATTTCTGATTTATAGGAGCAGCACAGCTTGATCTGGATGCCATGTTCACCGTCATGTCCATCAGTGCAATGCTCTTCCGGCTGGTG